ATCTCGTCACTTCGTGCGACGTCTTCCAAGGTCGCGCGGGATTCCTCGTCGGAAGGGTTGCGAAATGCGAAGGACGGCACCCTTAGAATGAGCGGACGAAGGTCGTGAATTTTCTGGAGACTTGACGCGGTGGAAAACTCGGTTGAAACAGAAAGATTCCCGCTTCCGAGTAGAAATCTATTTAGTCGACTTGAGTAAAAAAAGCTAGTACAGGCTAGATTAAATTTTCTAGCTCATTACTGTGAAAAAATGTTATGTCCACTGAACAAATTACGCGTTGGTGCAACAATACGTTGCATTGATATAGTTACTGATCAAGTCGCAATCGTTGAATCAACTGTGACAACTCATTACAGAAATGATATAATTTCTTCAGTGGACTAAACGTTGCGCTTGAAAAAATGTGTGTTCGTTTAAGTGAAATTTTCGTCGATTCAACTGAACTTTTCTCAGAGTAGCCATTACCTACGTTATTAACCATATCGCCAAAATTGAAGGTACATGATGAAATAAAAGTCCTACGTAATTAAGAGGGACATTTCAAGGTACGTGTCTCGAACTTGGAGGAACTGTTGCGTAATATATTGCGTAGTACTTCAACTTGAGGTACCTCGAAATGTTCCTCGTTATTATGGGTTTTTATTTCAACATGTGCCTCCAACTTTGATACATGGTTAACAGTGTAGGAGAAGCGAGTGTTACGTTACTGACTAGTAGTGACGTTAAACACTAATTTACTGCCTAGTGGCTAGACACTCAGGAGGTTCAATTTCTACTGAGATATAAGATTTCCACTCGGTCCAATGATTCTCAGTAATCTCCTTTCTGAGGAGCGCTCCGTCTCACTGCGACTCATTTAGGCGGTATTTGCATAAGAGGGGAGGAAAAATCGCGTGGAAGGAATGCACTCGGTAAAATAAATTTCCAGGACAGGCGGATACGGATACACGTGTGCGAGTGATCCTCTGGTTTCGTCATCGTTCTCTAGCTGGATGCACGTTTCCTCGCTTCCATTTCTACCGCCCCCGTACTCCAAGCGACACGGTTACCCTGTCCCAGCCGCGATTTATTTCGAGGCACGAGCGTCGCTTGTAGCGTACGTAGGCGCCGCGGTCGGCACGCGGCAGGAAGTACGATTTTACGAAATTACGCCGGTGAGAGACACGTCGGCGCGCGGACGTTGTAACTCGACCCGGTAGGTCGTTGCAGATCATACGTTTTAACCCTGAAGGACGCGTACCGCGAATTCGTGGGACGCTCGTACGCACACAAAACCGCGAGTATAGGATGTATATATGGAGAGAGAGACCTCGGGAATATTTCTCACTTTAGTACCTTGACCCTTTCCTCGTCTCGTCGATTTTTGCGGTTTCTCTTATGGGAATTATGGTTCAAACATAAAATAAGCTTTTTAACGAAAACTTTTATTCATTTTAACTTATTTCGCAAGTCATTATAAACTGTGATGATTATATCACTGATTTAAAGAGGCAGTATATCCTATGGCTTAAACATAAATGGCATTTTTTAACGAGAATTAATTTCTCACAAATAATCATGATAAACCGTGACGTTTATTTCGCTGGTTTAAGGAGGCAGTGTATCGTGCGTGATGCAGCCACGTCTTGTTAAAAAATATGGATAAGGTAAATAGAGAGATGCTTCTATTTATTTTATAAACATAAAATAAATTTTTTCAACGAAAACCAATTTTTTCACAAATGACTATAAACTGTGATGATGATTTCACTGATATAAAGGAAGAGGTAGTACATCATGCATCCACGTCAAGAGCATAGATAAATAGATGCGCCTCTATCTATGTTTAAAACATAAAATCAATATTTTTGAAAGAAACGAATATTCTTTTACACAAATAATTATAATAAACTGTGATAATTATTTCACTAATACGAAGAGGCAGTATATTGTATGTGATGCACCCACGTCTTACTCAAAGATATCAGTATATCATGTATGATGCATAGACGTTATCCCAAAGAATAAATTAGTTATCAGGTAAATTCAATTTCTCGTCATCTTGCCGTCCCACCGTCGTGTTTTCAATCGTTCCGTCACGTTTTGCTTCTTCGCTCGCACACGTCGTCCTTCGCGCGCCGAATGTTGGCGCCGCGTTGGCGGATAGCTCGGCCGATCTATGCAGAATAGACGGCGCGTTAAAACCGTATATTACTGTCTACGATCTGGTAATGATCATTTCGTACCGTTATTCTCGGTCAAGGTCCTCCCGCCGAGATCGAATTGGAATATGCCGTTCGCCGCGTCGGACGATCGGACCCAACGATCGTGGACCAACGACCTCATAGATTCGTCTCTCTTTCTCTCGCCGTCCACACGCCTTCTCATCTCTTTCGTTCGCGTCGCTTGTAAACAACTACACGAAAAGCGACGGGACGGATTTTGAGGATAATTGGGTGATTAGTGGGCGAGATATCTCGTCGAACGACAAGCAGTTTGGATTTACGTGGATACATTAACAGAACCTGGAATTCTGACGGGCGCGCTTAACGAGCCTCGCGGAATAATTTTGTCTCTCTGGAAAAAAACTTACTAAATCTTAAGGTGGCTATATATTACGTAAAACAGGAGATGACGTGCACATGTTTCTTCTGGCATCTCCTCGTCTTTGCGCTCGAGTCTCTGAAAACTCAGTTCTCTGAAAACTCAGTCTCTGAAAACCCCGCGTAAAATGATTTCTCTCTTTTCCTAATGTGAAGAATCTAAATCACACGAAAAAAAACTCGGTTCGTGTGATTGAATTTTTGATTGCCTGAGAATTAGATAAGAATTCGGTAGGAATAGAAAAATTCCTATAGGAGTTTCTTATTCAGCCAATTGATCTTAGATATCTCACCCGAGTTTTAACTTCTACAGAGACGAATTATTACAATCAGTCGAAAATAATATAATTTTAAAGTAATAAATATTTTATTTTATTTTATTTATCCATTTATTGACGGGAAATAATTTGTTTTGGTACAATATATTATACACGAGTTTCAAAGAAAGGGGAAACAGAGAAAATAAAGATAAAAATATAATAAAAATGATATTGTAAAGAAATAAAGGTAAAATGAAACAGAGAGAAGTAAGAAAAGGAAAAACTGCATTGAGAATTCGAGTTCGGGTGATTAATGATGGACCACAAAGGAGAACAATAATATATAATAATCATCAATGACACCACTGATATTATTAAATAAGAATAACCGGCTGAATAGTTTGAATCGTCCATGAGAAATCTGACGCAGACCAATATGAAAATACAAATAATATTTAAGAGCTTTATAGGAATGTTAAATTTGATTAATGCTAAAGTATCAAATGCTATAATATGACATCTGTCAATTATGTGACAGCATTTCGTTTTTTCTTATATAATTTTGTGACAAATATTCCATCACATTAATGCTCCTTATATCTTTATCTTTATATCTTTGTTTTATTTATATCTGAATCAAGGAAAATTAAACGTGTCAAGATTTTTTCACGATAACAGATACATCATTTCTCACTACTGACTTTTGTCCGTTGTGTTAAGTTGCACGAACCGGAATTTTCTTTCCGTTATCACACATTATTTCTCTAAGCGAGCCGAGCGAATGAATTCTCCGAAGAGCGACCGCCGCTTTTCCCGGCCGGTGCGGCCGCGGATTACGTAAAACGAGGTACTTCCCGTATCGCGGGACACGTGGACGCGGCGCGTAGACGGGCGTCTTCAAAGCGCCGTTTCAAAGCCATTTCTCCGGCAAAGCGAACGCGTTCGCGCGATTACTGCAGTGTGCGTCGCGGCTACCGCGGCGGTTGGGTCTTCGCTACCGCTTACGTCGCGTACTTCAGCAACAAAGAGCCTAGAAAGAGAAGGAGAGAGAGAGAAAGAGATCCACGGGTACCGTTCCGCGCGTTTGACACGCGCTCGCGAGGACGACCCGCGCGCGCTCGGCGCGAAGAAATCCACACGCCGGGATACGAGCGCGTGAGGTCGTGTGAGGTCGTACCACACGGTGGAGGGACATGAGCGCGAGCGAATAGGTTGAGGGTCGTGAGTGGCCGTTGACCCTGCCTGTGTATGTACCTGCCTGTGTATGCCGCCGCCGAGCGGCGGCAGCGGCGAGCGCATACGAGTGCGAGCGAGCACGCCTAGACAGGCCGGAATCCACATTGATAATAGCTTCTCTAGTTTACCGGTCTGCCTCTCGTAAAAGGAGATATTTATGGCCCTGCCTGTGGCCTGGCGGCGAAGAGGTCCTTCCGTGATTCTCTCTCTGTCCCGGCAAGGTGCGTCGTCCTTAATTAACACCTAACGCCCGGTTGTGCCAAATTAAGTTAAGCGAAATTAACTTACACGGTTACAACTGTAATTTTCAACATCTTCTCTCTTTCTCTCTCTCTCTCTCTCAATTGTTTTGTATAACAGAATTTCAGTTGGTGACTCTGCGAGTTAATCGCTCAGCTTACGTCCGGATCCACAATAAGTTTAATGAGCTTTTAGTCTTTTGCTCTAAGCGCTAAATTGTAACATAATTTCCAGCGAAAAGAGTTTCCAGCGGGCGTCGCAATTTCTAAGGTTTAAGCGTTATTGCGACTCTCGGCATCGCGGGAAACGCTTTTTCAGTCAGAAATCAGATTGTATTTTAATGCTTAGGACAAAAGCTTGATATGCTAATTAATTATATTTATCATTCAACGAATGTAATAAATAGATGACAGCGAGAATCTGGTCCCGCGGGAAAAAGCCCGTGCGAATTAACTTCCACTCGCGTGAAAGAGAAGATTCTCTCTTCGCACGTCAGCTACGAGAGCTCACTCGTATTTGGCAGTCAATGTGTTAACATGCTTTTCATCGAGGCTGATAAGTGTTGCGTAATGGCGATGATTGACAGGACGGAAGTTCGGCAGACGTTATGATTTTCCAGATGGCCGGTTGCATTTGCCGGTCGACGGGGCTAATCGCAAGCGATAATGATCTCTCGTTGCAGTATCCGTCCACCGTGTCGTCAGAGCTTTCGCCTGATCACGACGAGCCGAATGATCTGGACCGTAGGCCACCGGGGACCCTGCCGGCGGACGCGAACATTTCAGCTGCGGCGAGGGATCTCCTGAAACGGCTCTTACAACCGGAGCCTCGTCTGAGGCTCCGAACGCTGCTCAGCCTTCAGCGGATCGCCTTCTACATGGGCCACGATCTCCAGAGTTACATGTTGAAAAAGGCAATGATAATCAATTTTGTATGCTTCTTATTCACATAGTATGTTTGCAGTATATACTTCAATACCGGACCGACTAATTTAAACGCACGATCTTGAATCTCCAGGGTGTCTACTAGCTGGCAAACAGATGTTTATATTTTAATCGATTTATAAAAATTGCATTTCGTACCGGTTATAAATGTTTTGCTAACTTTTGAAAATGAAATTTTAGTTTTATGCAATATAAAATATTTACCTTTCGGAGTCTACAGTTTCATTGAAAAATTTTGAAACTCGAGTGATTCTTAATCTTATTTTATGATTTATAAACTTTTATGAATGGGAAATATTAAGGACTTTGCACGATAAATACGTACTCGTTTGCATATTTAATAAAATATAATAAAATATAATATATAATTAAGATACTTTTATTTTATCTGGAATTTTTAACAAATTGCCTGAAAAATCGGGCAATTCTCGAGGAAATTTTTTTCGGGTTTGAGTAGACATCCTGATATCGCTTGAAATTCTTTAAATTTACAATTCAAATGTTTCACATTGCAACGCAAAGAATTTTGGCCTCTTACCGAGCAAAATCATGAAATATCTTTATAAGAAGATTTATAATCGAGAAGAGAAAAAAGACTCTGCGTCGTAATCAAAGTTGTTTGTCATTTTTTGTCACATGCAGGAGTCGCCGTTCCAGCTTCTAGGAGTGACTAGTCAACGAGAAGCGCAGCGGCAACGAGTGAAGGATTCATTTCCGGATTTCGAATCCTTCCCAGATGGCGATATCGTGCGGCCGAGCGATCAATGATCTCTTATGTTATTTCTAATGTTTTCTAATTACATGCTTCGAGATGTAATATGTGCGAGAAAATTATTTTTGATATTCGTAATGTTTAAAGCGTCACGTAGTCGCCGATTGTTATATTTCACTTGACGAATTCGAGGTGAAGTCTCGAAGGGATTACTTAACGTCTGATCAATTTCTCGACCCGCTGTTATTCTCAGGTAACAACGATGTAATTAAATAATAACACGTTGAAAGCTTCTAATTGTCTCTTTAAATTTCCAGCCATATCTATCTTCAAAGCAAATCCTCCAGTCCGTCCGATTAAAATTCCTCGTTATTTCTCATGATTAAATTAAACATGGTTATTTCCGGGGACCCAATTTAGGTAGGGATGTTATAGGCAGACTAATTGAACGACATTAATTGGATTACCGTATCGGTTTGCCGCATCGCATTTTTGTTCCCGGGTCTTAATTCGATTTTTAGCTCGTTGCACGAGGCTCTCGTCCGAGTAGCTGAAAAGGAAGCGTCAAGTAAAGAATGAAACTCTCCGCCAACCGCTTGATCTCAGTTTACAAAAGTTTTAATTTTTTTAAGAATAGTTAACAGTATTTTTGTTTGTTACAGTATCTCGTCGATAATACAATAAATTGCGATAATCGTAGTGCGTACAAACTAACAACGAAACGAAAACGGGTCTGGATCAGAAACGCATTTCATCTTCCGAAATCAATGCGAGAACAACGTGCTTTGCTTCTTCTTTCTCTTTCTTCCATCTTTTTGCCGTTCTCTCCCTCTTTCTTCTCCCTTCTATATCCATGAATTTCGTCATTCCCTATTTCTCCCTGCGGTCTTCCGGTGCGCCTGGATTCCCGTCGGATCAAGGGGGCAGCTCCTCTCTCGAGAGTGCAATTAATTCAAGTTTACCGTGTAATAATTATATATATACATTATTATTCTTACATAGGGTCTTTCGGTTTCGATATATAATACAATTTACGCTCCCAGATTACGTTCCGTGCGACGCGTCAGCGATCGATCGCTGGCCGAGTGTTTCCGAGTCGAGCGACGCCGACGGACAGATCGAGCAACGAAATTGAAAAAACATTGAAAGATAAAACAACGAACTCCGTGCTATCACGTATGGTAAACGTTCTCCGAGAACAATGCGAGCGCGTAAAAGATATCGGTCATCGCGTCGCGACGAAACGCACGAGCAGTTGCGCAGAGGCCTTCTCGCGTGTTTCCTTCCGCATTGTTCCGAATAAACGTTTGTCCCTGACCAATACCTCGATGTTAACGATATACTTCCGTGTCCGGAGCGCGTCCAAAACGTACGACGGTAAAAAGAGGCTACGGCCTCCTTCCTGGAGGCGAGTGCTAAATACGTCTTCCCTATTCCGAGTTTAATTGACCACAGTTATGCAAAAAAGATCCAACTCATGTGGAGTGCGTTCCTCCGAGGAAAATGAAGACGGAAATTTGACACATGATTTAAATAGTATCTCTTCACAAACAAGAAATCAAGCATAGACCATTTTCTTCTCTTTAAGAGTATTCGTTGATAAACTTAACTCTTAAAAAATGAATACTTAGACACAACTAGTAAAAAATGAAAACTATTTTTTTTTTTATTAATTTTAGGTGCCCATAAGACTTGGATCTTTTTGTTTTATGTGAAAAAACGTATAGACTATTTATTGGTAACAAAATTTCGAAAATCATAATCTTATGGATTGGACCCTTCTAACCATGGCCAATTTTTCTCACGTGAGCGCCACGTGTGATCCCATCCGGAATCAGAAATATTTAGCGTTCGCCACGTCTCTAGAACACGGCTCTGGGACGGCGTTTCATCTCACGAAGGAGGATCGACTCGATGCTCTCTCCATCCGTCGCGCGTCCCGAGAATGATTTTCTCGACGTGCGCCCGTACGCGATCGACGGGAAACGAGGATCAAATTTACAGGATCGTTTCTTTCTCTCTCACTCTTCCTTTCTCATTCTTTCTCTCGCACACATACACACACACACACACACACACACACGTACACGGAACACCAAATCGATCGCGTTCCCGAGTTTGATTCGGCAGCGATCGCCGCGCGCGCGCTTGCCAAGAGCCGCGGTCATCATTCGCGACGAACGGAACGGAATTCGAATTACGTCTAATTGTAACTGCTTCCACCCCGCGTGGCGAAGTCATTTTGGTAAAAATCTCCGGGCTCGCCCTCGTGCCGGATACTTGAGCCGACTCTGATTGTTCCTCCCGCGCGGATCTCTGATTTACGCCATTGTCGATTGCGTCTGCCTTAGGTTTGTTTTCTATCCCCGAATTGGCCGTATTAATGCATATTAGACGTACTATAGATTTTCAGTATCGTCATTGAATATCAGAACACATCCTTCTTGAAATACACGAAGAAAATATTGGAGTAAAAATTACTACAAAATTTCGTAATGTTAGACCATACCGGAATTATGACTGGAATTATTATTAGTATATCACTAAAGAATACAACACACATCATAATTTCGGTTATAATTCCGGTATAGTCTAAACAAAATTACACGGAAAAAAATTCGTCCTAAATCAAGAATAGATATTCTCATATATAAGCAAGAATGTCATAATTTTGCTAGGAGACTTTTAGTCTCGACTTGATTGAATTTATATCGATGTACATATTAACTTGAACTCAACACAAGACTTAAAAACCTTCTAAGAAGATTATAATATCGCTTATATATGAGAATATCTATTCTTGATTCGTAAGACTAATTTTTTCCCTGTGTATATAGTAATGTTTACTACAAGATTTTCTCCGTGTGGTGCGGCCGGTTCATTAATAGAAGACGAGCCTCTTATCGCGTTTCCCCCTTGGCGAACTTGCGAGTCCGCCGGTGGATGCCCGGACGACGAGTATCCCGCGCGAGAGCGCACCCTAAGCCTGTTTTCGCGGTCGCGAGCCCGCGGGCCCCGCCGATTTCACCGGAGAACCGGCCGGCTCACGCCGCCACCGCTCGACGCATTCTCTCGCATTCGTCCTTAATACACTACTATTCCTTATTGTTGTTAGTTGCGTTACCGTTACAGTGTTGCTCTATCGTAAGATATTATGATACAAGAGTAGAGTCGCCCGTTTTGCACGGAGCGACCAGCGATTACGACAAATTCCTCTCCTCTTCTTCTTTCCTTCCTCCTCCCTTCTCTTGTTGCCTTCCTTAAATTTTTTTACAGCCTGACTCTACTACAAATATCGCGCGTGGACCTCCGGTATTCTGCGAGTCGTCTTCGCGGTCTCGTTCCCTCGCGAGAAACGTCCCGACGTTTTCACGCGTCCTCCTCACAATTCGGGAAACTCCTTCTTTCCTTTTTTTCATTAACAAGCAACGTCGAAAGCTTACGGAGATCTCATAGAACCGTTCGATGTCGGATGAATGCGTCCCTTTCGTTTGGAGACGTGACGGCGGACTCCCGCGAATTCCGCTCGCAGAATGAACGGCCCGTCGTCCGCGCGATGTGCGAAACGCGAAGAAGAAGAAACGGCTCTGACGCGCGTCGGCGCTCGCGCTTCGCGAATAGGCTGTGAGAACGAGAGAGAGTGTGTGTGTGTATGTGTGTGCGCGTGTATGCTAAACCCGGACGATAATATTATTACATTTAGATGAGACGACGAATATACAAAGTAGCTACCGAGAGGCGGATGATTCGCGCGCGACGCGCGCTCGAGCCGTTCCACGCGCCGTCGATCGGTCGATCTCGATCGTCTCTCTCGACAGAACTCGGGAGACTCGCGACACTACCGTGCGCGCGCGACTTCACCCTCTCCTTTCGACCCTCCGCGATGCGCGGCGGCGCGAACTCGGCGCGACGGAGAATGTCTAACGATTGTTTTCTTCATCCGGTTCCACGTTTTTCCCCCTTCTCGCCTTCTCTCCTTCTCTCTTTTTTTGTACACAAAATACCAACTATCTGTGCTGGAAAATGCACATGCTTGTACGCGTCGTATATATCTATGTATATATGTATATGCATATGTATAATATTTATATATGTATATGGTGTATTGGTTTTTCTTCTGTTGCATTAGAGCGCCGTTTATCTAAAAATTAGTATTTATAAATATTTCACCGTTTACATCTTGCGTAATATCGTGTGTAGCGTGTATGTAGCAGAGTGGGCTTCCTTCTCTCTCTCTCTCTCTCTCTCTCTTTCCTTATCACGGTGTTTTACAATATATAATATATATATATATAATATGCGCGAATATGTATAATATATATTTATATTTATATATATATTATATTAATATGTACACAAAATCATTCTCATTATAAGACGTATGTTTCGCGTGTTGTCGACCATTTTAGTTTTCTTGCCTTTATTCCACGCTCAGAGAGTGGACGCTTCGAACAGATGTGTTTTGGAGGTGGCGAAGCTGCCTTCGAGAACGTCGTTTTTCAACATCGATATTGCTCTACTTCTTCTTCATTTTCATCCGCGAGAACCGAGCCGTTTTATTCACGCGCACGATACGCGTCGCGAGTTCTGCTCGATCACGATAATCCGAGTTATCGAATCCTTCGGTTTTCGACGCGAGGAATTCCCCGTGTTTACCAATTACGCGAATTAATTTGCCTAATTTACTCTCGTTGGAATTTAGTATCTCCCTGAAATAAAATCCGAGACCGGCCGCTCGGAACAAAGTTCGCTCACGTCCGTTCACGCACGCGAACGACAATTTGTCGGACGTTCAATATTTAAGCGACATTGTTGCACGAGTTGTATTCTCGATTGGTAGAGACGCACGGTGATATTAAAATATATTCTGTAAAAAGACGTAGAGAGGGGGGGGGGGGGAAGGGGGGACGTTCTCGAACGTAGCTCTCGGAGGAAAGGACTCGGCAGAGACGCGCTCCATTCAGATCCCGACCACTCTCTACCTAAACTATTTGTTCGTAATCTCATTCTCTCTCGTCAATCGCACGCGCATGCACACACACGCACTCGCACACATACGCACACTCGTCACACGCGGGCATATCATGCGCTCACACACCGCTCCAGGCAATCCGGAAATGGATATATTTGTTCGACTACACGGTAGCCACAGCGCTCGACCAATGGAACGAGAGAGACACTTTAATCTCCCTGCTCATTTTTTTCTTTATATCGCTCCTTATGACGTGCTTCTTCGTGGTATTCCCGAAGGTCTTTGTTCTGTTTTACCTCGGACGACCTCGAAGTTGACGAATTAATATCGAACAGCTGAGTTCACCGACGGGTTAAGAGAAAGATCGACACACACACCGATCCTCTCACCCCATTGGACGATCGTTAAAAACTAGGAGGATTTCTAAACGAGGAAAGTAGTAGACTCTCGACCGCGACTTCTTCCGTGTCGTTCTTTCCTTTCTTTACTTATCCTTTCTTCTTCTACCTACCGCCATATATACCGTATGGATCCGCGCGACGCGAGGCTGGTTTGCGCACGTCCACATGAGATCGTAACACGTACCTTACGCTTTTTTACTTCGCATCTCGTTTTTATTTCTTCTTTAAACATTTTCGCTCGTCGTTCTCCGAAACAAGGAGGAACCGATTACGAATTTCTTTCGCGCTCTCTCTCCTCTTTTGTCGCGTCAATAGGATGTGAGTAGGAGAAGGAGAAGAAAGAGTAGGTTTGGAAGGAGGGAGGAGAAGGAGGGTCGGAAATTTCGCACAACACGGAGGGTGGACAAGCGGGGGTGGGATGCGAGAAGCTTTTTCAGGGATAAGCGTGCAAGACATCGCACATCGAGGCACGTGTCTTCCTCTCGTCTTGTTTTTCCTCCTCATTTCCCGTTTCTCTCTTATTACTCTCCGTATTATTTTCCCTTTCGTCGTCTGACTTCGTTCTTTCGATCAGCTATCACAAGTCTGGGTACAAATTGGCAACACGGGCGTTTCGTAACGACTGCTTCCTCCTCGTTCTACCCTCCGACAAGAACAACGGGCCGAACGAGTCGAGAATACTAAAAGAGCCGGTCGCGCCGGACGTCAATTGGGCGCTACAATTCTGCCCTAATTCGACTTTTTTTTTCTCTCCTCTGTCTGTATTATAGATGTATAATTATAGACTATAATAGTTAGATAATTATAGACTATATTATAGACTATAATTTAGACAGCGAAAACGTCTAAACCCAGCGCGGACTGCTTTTGCGAGAGAGCAGAATGATATCGACACGTCGTCGGTGTTCCGCGTTCCTCGACCTCAGCAAATCAATTCGACTCGTAGCGTTCGATCTGAGCGGTGCACGATGTGCGCTCGTTGGACGATAATGACTGAAGAAACGAAATGAGTGATCTTTGTTCGGATATTCACCGATTTTCGCAGCATATTATCCATCAACTTTCTTTCATTGTGCCTTACATCCGCTCCCCTTCCCGGTTTCGCAGTAAATGCATTTTCTGAAGTGCGAGACGTGAAAAGAGCTTGAATTCGAAATATGAGAGTCTCGTACTTGTGGAAAATGCGATTTAACGACCGTCGCTTAAGAATCCGTTTGATATTCGTGCCCGACGAACACGGAACAATGACGGGCGCTCTGCTCTCGGATAAATTTCGTTAACATTGCCGCGATCGAAATCAACGAGGACCGTAAAACGTCCTACAGCGATATTATTGACAACAATAATAATAATACAATAACGTAATAATAATAATTAATAATAACTAATAATAATAATTAATAAAAACTAATAATAAACACTAACGTACACACACTATGTATACTCCTGTACAAAGTTTAATTGCACAATGCATCTGATCTTTTCCGCGAGAACGAAGTACATCTAATTTAATAATAATAATAGTCGTAAGCGCTTGCTCCTCAAGGCAGCTCCACGAGAGAGTGATACCTGGCAGTAAAGGAAAACAGTTTCGTCGATCGAGCAGTCGACCGATTGTCGTAGACACTGAACGGCCTGTTTTCATTTCCACGCGATGTATGTATGTGTATGTAGGGTGTGTAAGTGTGTACGTGTGTGGTACGAAGAGCTTAACGAACTACGCGATAATTGTCAGTGAGTCACAAGCAACGAATATTCTTTTATTTTTCTCGTTTTCTCTTGTGCGCGCGGTCGCGCCGAAATCGTGAACATGGAATTATCGTAAATCACATTTCTCGGACGCCAGCCGAATCTCTTAATCGTTAAAAACGAGGGTTCATCGAAAAATGATTTTCCTTTATCCCTTTCTATCTCTCTCCCCTTCTCTTTTCCTTTCTCTCTACTCGCGGTAACTCTTCGCCGTTTTGTTTCTGTGTCACGCGCGGATGTCAAAGTATAAAAATATTAATACTAAAACATTTTCTTTTCCATTTAAAACTAAACTCAACTCACTTAGTCGACGGTAGTATTTACGAGATATCGCTTTTCTTTTCTTAATATTGTGATGTATATACCTCCCCTTCCTTCGATCTTCGAATACTTCGTTATTCGAGACTCGAGTATTTTTTCTCTTTCTCTTTTATTATTTTTCTCGTGATATCAACAGGACATATCACACGCGTTACGATGGCTCGAAACTTGACAGACGTATTTTCTTTGTGTTTTTTTTTCTTCTTTTACGCGTATACAACGATGCCAGGTGACACTGATGAGCTAGCTTGATTGCAAAATGGTGTTTACACGCCTAAGGGTATGTTCACACGCGCGCTCGCAGTGTCCATTGGAATTACGTAACTCGGGAGGGAGGGGCTCGGGAGAGGAAGGAAGGGAGTCGCGGAGGTACCCCTGATTCTTAACACGATCATGATTCACACGCGAATCCGCGTTGCGTCCTTTCCGCGATTGGCACGCGCACGACACGCACGTCGCGCCAACAAATCGTTCCGATCGCTAAAAACGTGTTGTGTACTCGCGGCCTCGCGCCACCACGTTGCACCGAACAGTATCGTACATAAAAACGAAACGGAAGAAACGAAAAGATATAAAGACACGTAAAAACCAACGTAGAGAATTCATAACAGGAAACGTCGATTATGAACGAGAGACACACACGATTCGCCGAGTCAGAATTGCCTTCTGACCGAATATATATACTTCACAGCGGACACACCGAGCGTTTCTATAAAAAAGTCTTACCTACTATTATACAGCGTGATTTTGATTTTCACACAACGGCAAGCTTCCGAGAGGCGATCCTGTGAGACGTCAGAGACATAGAGAGAGAGAGAGAGAGAGAGAGAAGGAGGGATGGAGGAAGTGAGACATCGTGGCTCGCGTTTTCAATGCGGAAAGACTCTCTCTCTCTCTTTCTCGCGCGCGCGCGCGCGTTGTATAATATATTTATTTATTACTAACAGAATTCCCCCCTCGCGCGCCAGACAGCCTTCGAGAACTTTTCTAGAAGAACAAACGTTCCCTTCACGCGCGCGCGCGCATACTACGAACAGTCCGAGAGATCAGTCGGCGTTCCGAAGACGCGCACGGGGTATAGTAGTGTTGGTGGTGATGGTGAAAACGGCGTCGGGGGTGTCGGAGAAAGCGCAAACAGCGGCTCGACTAGCACGGGTGTGAACGACCCTTAAGAAAAGAAATCGGCGAGCGACCCGTCCGCCGTGGGGCTCTGCGGCCGCGGACGGGGTCGCCCTATCACAATCTTCGTCGACATCGTGGTGGCGCTCGCCGTTGCTGACTGCGGCCGCGGCAGCAACGCGGACGATAACGGGAGTGGCGGTTTCGACGAGAATGTCAACCCCCTCGCCACCGGCGGCAACGGCGAGTGACGACACGACGCAGCAACGTCAAAGTAAACCACCGTCGCCGATCGGCGAGCACCGCGCGCACTCCGCCTTCGACTCGACCGCAGCGACGATACCCGGCTATTATTTTTCTTCTTCTCCTCCCTCTTTTTCTTCGGCTGCTTCCTCCTCTTTCTCTTCTTCCCTTGGTTGTATTTTTTTATATTTTTTTTCTTCGTTTTCTTCTTCAACTTTTTAGCCAGCCTCAACGCGAGGCCACCACACTGCACCTTCACCGATACCCGCACCGCACTGTAGCACCTCAACACATTGCAATTGTCATGGCCTATGGAACCTGCAAACGAGCAAACAGAGGGAGAGAAATGAGCGTTGGATCTCGTCTGGAAATCAAGTCTGAGGGTGGGACACGCGTCGTCTCAGTGGCGGATTTAATAGAAACTAGTTTTACTGGAATATCAGGCCTCTCATATTCGTCCTTTCTTTTCGTTTATTTATGAGAAATTAAGGGGCCAAAATTATATTAGCATCAGGTCCTAAACATTTCCATCTACTACTGGTTGTCCCGAAAAATCGAAATCTCTCGATATTCAGAAATTAGATTGAATTTTCCGAAAGTGGAGACTCACCGCTTTTGAAATTTCAGTAGATTCTCTTTTCGAGAAACCTTTTTCCTTTACGTATAAGCAATTAAGAGGTCCCCTTTAAAGTCTAAAAAGTTTTCATTCACCATTGGTTGTCCCGAAAAATCGAAATTCTTTTCGGGACGAGAAGCATGTCCACACCCGAATATAGATCATAAACACCGTCGTCGTGTGTGACGATGAATTCGTAAAAGAAACGCGATAATACCTGGTGAGGTGTCGGCTGTCCTCGTGAACGGCCATCTCCGAACTCTTGAACTCGTTCAGCTCTTTCCTAATGGCGGCCTTGTCCTTCGGAGTTAACCGTGTCCAGGGCTTGTCGGCTCGTCTATCGTAATCGTGAGCCTGCGTTACCTCGATATAGTCGTTGAACCTGATAATCTGCGGGAGAGCAAAGCGGAAGCTATATATTGACTTTCGTTTTTTATAGCTCCGTCCGTAGGCCGTTAAGCCTTTATCGGAGGGGCGGAAAATAGCGCGACGGTAAAAATGAGAGACGAGAAAATATCGGACGAACTTAGACCACTCGCGGCGATACATCGTATCTCCCTCGATACGGTCTCTCAATACTCCCCTCCTTCTCTCTCGCTATCTTGAAACGCTAAAGGTACACTGAACGCGGTGCGACGCGGAGAGTCTGTCAAGATTTACGAAGGAACTTTTTCCCTTTTCTTCCCCCCCCCCCTTCCCTCCCACGCTTAATCACCTTCTTTTCCTTGAGCTCTTCGACAGTCGGTCGGAAACTGAGCTTCCGTAGGAGGTAGCGTTTCTTCTCTTCCTTCTGCTTCTTCTCCTCGGCGGGGCTTTGCTCTGAAAAAGAGCGTCGTGCCTTTTCTTTTAATTTGACCACGGCCGATTTGCCAAAGCGCGCGGATTTAATTACGATTCCTCGCGGAAAAGTACGTCGTACGAAATTCTTATCGTTCGAAAATGTATTGTAAATGTATTGTAAAATGTATTGTAAATTTCAAATTAAAAATGCTTATATTACAAATTTTTATCTTGAATTAAGATATAAAAACTTAGAAATAAATGAAAAATTATACAGGACTAACAGCAGCCAAACGCTAATTTTGATTAATTAATAACGACAACTAAATTGAAAATCTACACTGTGTGTTAAGAAAGATGTATACAATAATCTCGAGCGTTTCGTTTTCATTTTTATACAGTCGTTATTTTTACATTATTTTGGGGAATTTCGCATATCCACCGATACTACATTCAAAATACCGAGGAAAATCACGAATGATCGTATTCTATATTTTTCTCTCTTTACAATTCCGCTTTAACATTCATCTCAGAATCGCCGTTCGTCTCGCGAATTAACGACTGGCTGAACTTACTTTTCAGAATGTTTCTCTCTTCGAGCTCCTCCTGGGTCGGCCGCATGCTCAACCGCCTGAAATCAGAATGGTACATGAATCAGTGTAAGTTCGTCGGCCACTTTAATCTTCTTTCGTCGGTGGCGAGGGATTTGAGGGAGGCTGCGAGAGGAGAGGGAGAGAAAAACCCACCACACGGTGTGCAAACAAGTGATTCACCGCGGCGAACACTCGTCCCATTATCCCGTGTAATCTTTGCGAGAGACAGCTGTTATTTCAAGCTCGATTTCAGGCGAGCTCGATCGGTCGGTTCGTGACGGGTTGATATCGGCGAAAAGGGAAGAGAAACGGATTTTTCCGGAATTAGAATTCAGATACGTGTGTTCATTTATTATCGGGAGGTATTCTAACGGCGGCATTTTTCACCTAAACCGTAACGAATGTATAATATTTAACACGCTCTGACGACCGCGCTCATATTGTGGGAAAAATTTTCATCCGCCGCCGACAGATTTCGAAGATCCGTTCGGATCGTATCTAAAGAGACAAATATTCGTTTTTTATTAGATTAATGCGCAAAAAGTTCGTCATGTTTGCCAAATAAAATAAAAAATGAAATTATTTAATTTCGTAGGACTAACGAAAATTTTTACGAAGAAAGAAATTAACAACGTCGACTCGGCATCTTTTAGACATCTGACGAGGTCTTCTTACGAGAATTTAACAGAAAATAAAAAAAAAAGGTTACATAAATCCGCAAATCTACTTTTAGGTAAGATTTAGTCGATACTTTTCCAGTTAAATAGAACTTTATTTTTTCTTTTTCTTTCCGATGATCCATCATCGAGAAAAACAATATATTATTTAATAAAGTAAAATGTTGAACTATAAAAGTATCAGCGTTGAATTTTTCGTAGAAATCCTCAGGGACTTATCGGACAAAAAACCCGGTACGTACATTCTCTGTAACATTACAACTATAGATTGTTATTACCGGGGAATATATCTTTATAAAGCGGTAACCACACTGACAGAATGAAGTCACGCATACGTGACAGCGGCCGTCACAGTGTTGAGACTTCCTGTTTTCGCATCGACTTCGTATCGCGGCGAGGATTTCCCCTCGACGTTCGCCGTGCGGGAATACGGTATAATAAATATCAATCTCGCAAATCTAACCGACAGCGCGTTAGGGAAGAAATTCGCGCGATTCGTCGGTCACGTTTTCGCGTCTTTGTTCGGCCTGGTCGGATCCACGAACGGATGATTCGTGCCGAGCGATGCGGAGGATTCGTTACGACGCGCCAATTCCGAAGCTTCTGTAATATATCCGTTTGACGAAAATAGAGACGAGAATGCGTATAACCACGAGATCCGCTTGCCCGCTTGGCGATTCGGCGCGATTGATAGACGAGCGAAACAATTCGCCTCACCTGATGAGCTTGGCACCGATGGCCTCCTTCGTCTCCTGCCTCTCATTGTCCGTCTGCAGCTGAAGGATGTTCCTGTTGATGAGCTCCTGTCTGTCTGGCCTGAGGGCGAGCTTCAGCGACAGCGATTCCTTGCGCGCGATCTTGGCTGCCAAACGGCCTGTCGAGACAGAAGATGTCGAATAGCTCGTTTAGCTCGTGAAACCGCTATTCTGATTAACGCATATTCGGATTCGCGTGCGAGGAGATTACGTTATTATGCGGGATGAACTGAGCGTCTCTCTCGACAGGAATCGAATTAAAACACAAGTAAGGGACGCAGGTTGAGGCGAGATGTCAAAATCGTACCACCTAGAGTATTTTTAAAACGCTTATATCGCACAAAAAGCATACAATGCAACTCGTTCAAGTTTTCTGATTATGTTTCTATTGCTTATTTATTTCATATATTTGCCACTGGGTCGCGTTTATGTTCAATAATTACAGAAGAAACGATATGCGATTTAAATGACCGATACGATTTCGACAATTCTTCCCTACGTTAAATCGCGTCTTCCGGTGGAAGTCAGGAATCAAGTCGGAAATCAAGTGAAATACACAGGTATTAACAACAATCGAAGTGAGATCTGAGATTCGGCAAAGGGGAAGTCAGATTGCTCGTTTCGTCGTATCTATATTACTCCCGACGAGGACCAGTCCCACGTCCGACTTCTAATTACTCATCTCGCGATTATTCGAATAACCAAATTAGCTCGAATGCAGAAATTCAATTAAAAATCCCAAAGAGAAAAGAGGGAAAAACGAAATCGCGGTGAGACATGAGATTCGGCGGGAGTCCCGAGCGGAAGGAAGTCAGATCGCTGGTCGCGTCGCGTGTACGCTACTGCCGACCGCTAATTGCGCATCGTCGCGATTACTAATTACCCTCCATGATCGGCGAGCAGCTGAAGCTGCGATAGAGCAGCGAGGCGTGTTCGACCGGCTCGATCGCGGCGCAGGCGATCGACAACGTCGACGCGGTCCATATCGACAGCATCGTGTCATTGCTCTGTTCGTCCCCCTCTCTCTCTCTCTCTCTCTCGTGGACACGAAATCTAGCGAGTAGGCGTTCCACGGCAGGCTCGACGAAGTCGGCACAGTTTGCCCACCACTCCGGCGAATATTAATTATCATTCACTGCCACGTTGGCCATTCCGCGGCGCGGAATTAACGCGCGCTTCGTCAACGACGTTCGAGAATCTCGCGCGAATTTCCCGAACACCTCTTTTCTCTTTTCTTTCCACCGGCTCGACGACGATTACCCGACCCACACGTGGCGTATGAAAGAGTTCCGCGCGCGGGAAGCCTCGCGACGAATCGAGACTAAGGAACGACCGGGAGCGCACTGAGCGACACGCCAGCTATCTTCGGGGATTAATATAAACCTTCTGGTGTCCGTTCTCTCGCTCTGCCGCACACACACGTGACACGTATATGCTTGCACGTATACGACCCAGCGCGCGAGAGTATAATTAGTTCGGTCGCTGAAGGCTGATTTAAAGTGTTGGGCAATCACGCGGATATTTCTCGCTGGGAAAACCGACGCAATGTCCCAGACAAGCTTAATCCGCGAGTGGTCGTGGCGCTTAAGCTCGGTTAAGGGATCAGTTTCCTTTCTCACGCGTACCGAGATCGCGGAAACGCTCCCTCTTTGCGAATCACGCCCGCGCTTCGTTACCTCGGTCTCTCCCTCTTCAGGCTTTCATTTCGTTTCATTTATTAAGGGAGGATTTCCCCTTTTAACGCAATATCTGTTATATCAACGAATTAATGTAATGTTATAGCGAAATTACGTAAAAAAATAAAGGTCAAAACACAAAAGCTGGTAATATTGAAATGCTGTGAAAAGAGAAAAGTGGGTAATATGTGAAATACAACAATCAAATCGTTATAAACGTTTCCAATCGTGAGCAGTCTGTCGCACGGAAAAAGAATGAAGTCCATATAATACAACCGAAATTTAGTTAATTTAACTGATCTTTTGCCCGTGTAGCTTTTAGATCACGTAGCTAAAAACTAGGCCTGAAAATTAAATTTCAGTTGCATTATATGGACAGTTAATTCCCTTTTCCGGTGTGCTTAGCTTGTTGAATTTTCTACGTTGGGTTCTATGCCTTTTCTTCATGAAAGGAGAGATAAAGCTCTGAAAGATCTAGCAGAAACACTAAACATAATCAAGTTCAAGATATCAAGAGAAATAATTAAATCTCTTATATAATCCTATATAGGAACACAAGAAAGACCATTAAGTATCCGTCCTTCTATCCTTCAGCTATAACGTAGTTCGTGCAACATTTTATCCCGCATTCGTGAACGGAAATCTTTCAATGATAAAAATGAATATGATAAGAAGAACGAAAGAAAAACGGAAAAATACGAACAAAGAGACGCTGGCTCAATCGGACGAATTTTCATTATCTCGGTCGTCGTAATATCGCGAAATCCGTCCCGTCTCTCGTCACAGACGATTCTCGCGAGTATTTTTTCGCCCCAAATGCGAAAAACGCGCGAGTCCCTAAGTTCAGTTCTCGCGACGAGCATTTTATATCGGTTATCTGGCGCTGGCACCTCGAAAGTTCCCGCCCCGCGCTGAATTTTCCTCGACCTTCGCAAATGTTTGAAGCCCGTCCGCCAAGTTCTACCCGCGCTTTCCTTTCATTTCTGCGCACGGCAAACTTTTTCTGGCACCTGCGGCTCACGGCCTCTTCACCAACTATACGTATTCCCCCGATATAGAACGATCCTTCTCGCCGTCTCCTTTCGGCGAAAAGAGTCAGAGAAAAAGAGAAAAAGTGAAGGAGATGAGGAAGAGGAGGACGAGACGTCATAAGCGTTATCGCGAATGCCCGCTGCCGAACTATTTTCGAATTCATTCGGAAGTCCATTCACCGAACACGTCAAGGGAGAGAGAGAGAGAGAGAGTCTGAAACCTCATATCTCGGTGGAAATTGCGAGCAGGGGTGTGAAATAAACATGGCCTTACCCTCCGCGACGTGTGCCCGCTCTCTTTTTCTCTTTATCGTGCTGCTGCACGCTCGTGACCGTGCATTTTTATTATCGCGCACGCAAAGTATGCGCCAGGGACGCGAGCGGACGCGAGATTTAAGCGTCTGACCGCGGCGGAATTTTAATGTTCCCGGTGGCCCTCACTCTCTCTCCCTCTCTGTCGAGAGAGAGAGAGAGAGAGAGCCACTGCTGCATATTTATTTTCGCGGCGAGAGATGATTGATTTCCCCTCCGCTATGATATCGCAACCGCGGCATTTCGCTAATGCGACCGTGGAACACACTCGTCGAAATTTCATCGGAGCGAAGTCAAGTTGCTTGCTATTTGTTTAATCGATTGCCGAGGGGAGGAAGGGAGCGGCGAGACGTCGGTCGGGGCTGTTGCAAAAATCGAGCCGGGAGAATTTTTCACGCGGCCCCGACCCGCGTCGCAATAAATATCGTTCGCCTGTTAAGTCCTTCTGCCCGTCCGACGCGTGTCTCCCGTACAATTTATACACTCGTGGAAAGATGCGCGATGTGCGATTAATATTTGTTAGTTCGAAATTATGAACACGATCAATCGTTCACCGTGAGATCCGCACGGTTGATCTCCTCCCGGGGGAGGACACGTACATGCCGCATTTTATATCTCTTTTGTTTCACGCGCGCGACCTTTCCGATCTTCTCTAATGACCCGGATAGACGGTTCTACGTAAGCTTGGCAGCAACCTTATCAGCCGATATGAAATGAGAATCTGGGAGTGGCTTTTGGTAAATTTATTGCTGCGCCGAAATGATAAAATATTTACATCGTTGTATTGTGAACAGTCAAAGGAGATATGCAAAGTAAAAGATTTTGCATTAAAAACACGATTCGTTGGAATTTTTGTGTTACTTTAAACACAGAGGGAATATGTTAAAAAGTATACAAATATTTGGGCCAGAAATTATATTCGAAGCTTCGAATTTCGTCAAATGTCGAATTATAACGAAGTTTCGAAGCTTCGAATATGCCAAATAGTACTATTCTTAACAAATACATGTTAAATTAACATATTCACCTTGTTAAAGCAACGCAACAATTTGGGTAGACCGGTTATGACACAAAATTTTTTACCGTGTGGACTCAATGAAACTACGAAATTAAACATACACTTAAAGCCATAAAGAGTCAAGCACAGATATTATAGTGCTATGATTTGATATTCAATTTAATAAAGATCCGATTAGATCTTAATATCTTCTCTCTTTTATAATACAAGAATTAGTCTTCGTCTCTTACGGCATAATATCTGTGCTTGGCTCTTTATGGCTTTAGTGTATGTTTAATTTCATTGTATTGGACTGATGAAAAAATTCGTTTCGTCTTTCAATCATTTCTCCGCTCTGAAATCCTGGAATTTCTACAAACGCGGGATCGCGCAGCTGCCGGAGAGATGGCAGTTTCATCGGACAAAACGGTGCATATTTAATTGGCTGATTGTAAAATATAATCGCGAAATTCATATTAAAATAAATAAACGTTACATGTATACGTTCCGATTGGAAAGCGGGACGGACTTTTGCATCGGCCCAATATGATGCGTAAATTTCATGATTAATTCAGTGCAGTACACTTGGCTCCAGAAATGTAATTAAAAACTTGCAAAGTTTGCCGTCACCGATTGTCTCACGTCGTGACAATCGTGAAGGTCTGTCCGGGTCGATCCTCTCTTTAACTTCATTTCTAATATTGATAATATCCAACGTTCGAGTGGCTCTCGAAGCTGACGAGCGATCGGAGAACAAAGGTAAACGCTGCTGACAACGCGCCGGTCCTAAACCAACAGGCGTGTTGACGAGTGAAAAATCGGGGAAAATCAATAATCGCCGGGAGGAGGGTGGAGGGGAGGTCCCCCCGGTGGGTAGAACTTACTCTTCTCGTCGTCGTAGTCCTCCCTGTAGAGAACCTGCCCGTCCCCGGAATCGCCGTCCGCGTCCTCCCGGATGACGTACGGCCTCGCGTTCTCCTTGTTCTCGAGCGTGCACGGCAGGGCGAGGCCGAACCGGACCGGTCGACTGCTGAAAGAACGAGGAACGTGGCGATCGTTATTGGCTCGGCTCGATATCGTCGCCGGCGTTTTGGCCGGCGACGCTACGTGGAAGCAATGTTTCTACTCTCTACGGTGGTGCTACACGAGAACGAGAGATATATGCGAATGGGATATATGCTGCGCGCACGAGCGCGCGGGGCTGGGAGGCTGGTGGAGTGATGCATTAATGGTGACCTCGAGAGTGGAGAGAAACAACGCGGCGTGCGAAACGACAGATCTTGCGGATTTCGCCAAGTGTTCGTCCGAGTCCGGCTGTTACCCGTTCGACACGTCGCGACACGTGAACTTTGTACACGCGCGAGACTGCGCGACAAAACAACACACTCGTGTTGTCGCGCTCGAGTTATTACGTTACGTCGGCGACGTCGACGAGGAGTTGCGAGGAGTAATAATAATAATGCCATGTCGGCACGCTAATCGCGCGTACGGTACACACCGAACACGCGCGCCCGCCGGTTCCTTCCTCCGCGAGGAAATTCTCGAGGAAATTCACGAGGAAATTCGCTAGAATTCTACAGGGTGCTCCGGACGACCGTGCGACCTTAATTTTACGTCCTCTGAGGAATTTAAAGACGATTCTTCCTCGTCGAACATGTGTCGAGGTTGTGTCAGTGAATAATAAATTTATGCAGAAACCTCTTAATATCGCTACTGAAAATCCGGCACTCTGCGATACAACTACCTTAAAGTCCATTTGAAACTGATGAGACAAAAAATTTAGTCGTCCGTTTGGCCGTTCAAAGTTTTAATATGCGAAAAGCCTTGCTGTTTTTTTATCGCTTTCAATCTCTGAAACTATTAATGCCTCGACGTTTCCGTCGGGGAGAAATTAATTCGAAATTGCTCGGAGAATCTCTCGGTAAAATTACAACAGCGAAATCCGGGACACCCTGTGTATATCTGGGATACAGCATACGGCGAGAAATGACAGATGACGGTGCGATTATTCGTCGGATAAGTACGATCTTAGCGTATTCAACGTGTTTAAATCGGATTAGTCGTGGCTGGGTCGATCCGTGCGAAGCGTCGCTCGCTCGCTCGCTCGCTCCGGTTCTCCGGGAATTTTTAAGTTTAAAGCTCGGCGGGCAGAGTTAGCCGCGGTAAATTTTCTCTTCCGAGAATGACAACGTCCCGGGGTGAATTCAGAGAGAAAGGATGCAAACACTTCGCGAATCTTAAACGAGAGCGCCGGTCTTGAGTATGTACACAGTCTTGACAAGAAATTAAGGTCTCTTATAGTCCGTCCCGTTTCTTTTTTCTCGTTTCTTCTCCTCGCGGCGGTTTATTAACGGAAGGCCTTCGGCTACCGTGGTTTGTACGTGGCGGAAAATTTCCAAACTCATCGGGACTTTTGATCTTTACCCGCACGATCTCCCTTCGCTATTCCTGAAAAGATTATTAATATCGTGAAATATTACCGCGGTGAGAATTTGGAGAAATCCGAAGGCGCGCGCGCGCGGTACATCGCGAGCTATGCCAATTATGTTTCCGCCTTGGCTTTAAATATCGTCCAAATTTTTACTTCCTTATTTCTTCTCTCGAGCGATGCGTGACGTCAGAAGCGTGGTGCCTCGGGCCAAATATTTTCAAAGCGTCTCCAACGTTTAGAAGCCGGCGAGCTTGAAGCGTCAAAGCTGCGATAATGCGGCACGGAATAGAAAAGAAAGAACACCGACGCTCGAAAGAATACTGTAGCTTCGTGGGATAATGTGCTCGGAATCGTCCAAAATATTCAGGGTTCTCGATTTTAATAAGAGGTAAAAATAATATCGGTACCTTAAGGGGACGCTAGATCTCTGAAATGACCGAAAAATCGATTTCTGGACTTAATTATTTCTTATACGGCAATGCATCAGCAGTGTTTTGCCGCTTGTTGAACTTAAAAATATTGAAAATTACGATTTTGGCAGCTGATAAACGTAAAAAGGCTATGCTCGAATTTTTCGATATATTTGGTAAAACAAAAGTTTCACTACATCAGCATTCTATATTAAATATAAATAGGCAAGAAGACGAAAAATTTCGAGGAAATGTGGTTTTTGAGTCACCAGGTTTTTCAATAAATATTACTTTTTCCGGTTTAATCGATAAAGTATTTATTTGGGAAGAGAATGCCGTTTGCAGCTTTTTAAAATTTCACAATAGGATTACAAAATCGTGATAAAGCCAAAAAAGAACGCTTTTTTCATTACCGAATATTTCATAATAAACAAGCTTTTATGCAACCTTAAATATTTTATTCTTTTCCTAAAGCCATGCCCAATCTATTATTAAAACGTAAATTTATTTATATTTGTCAAGTAATTTATGACAATGCTTTACCGCACCGATCTTTTCGCATGTTCAAAGGTCCAGCATCCCCTTGTGATCGTTTCAGCGCGGAACGAACGTTCTCGACCGAATCCTTTTTTCGCGAAACGGCACCGCAAACAAAATCGGAATACATTACACGGGAGTGTGCGCAAATGAATGCGATTGTTCAAAACAATCTCGCACGCAATACATGTTAATTATGAAAAACACGTGCATTCCGTGCGTAAATTCCCGCGTGTTTTTTCGAGTAGGTTGCGGCACAAGAGGCGAAAATTGCAAATATATAAGTGGGAAAACAAGAATATAAAATTATTTATTATTGTTAACACGAATATAAAATATTCGTGTTAACAATAATAAATAAATTAATTGCGCCTGTGTGCGTGTGTGTATGTGCGTATCGGAAAAATGTGGTATTTAAAGGTCAGCAATGCATCGTCGAAATCATTACAGTTATTAAATATTGGGGAAAGGTTACACACCGCATGCTCCCGAACAGAAAAGTTACAACGAGGACTCGCGAAATACATCGGAGCGAGGTGCAATCGAAGGCGAATGTATCCGGACGAAATCGCAAGGATATTCGCGAACTCACTGCGCGGCGGTCGCGCAAGGATCAATTTAAACGTCGTTCGCCTCGTTACGTCGTTAAATTCATCATCGCCTGTGATCGCGGGAGTCGCGCGGGTTGAAACTGCAGACATCTCTGGGATGCGACACCGACGTCCGTGATCATCGATGATCCGCGATGACGGATCGCGCGCGATTCGCGAGAGATCGAGCGATCAGGCGACAAATAAATAGCGACTCGCGGCGACTTAGCACGCAGCTTGAGATATTCGACCCACGGTGGTGGCGTGTCGTGCGTGATCGAATGGTGCGGCGTGACAAGCGTTAAGGCGAAAGAGGTTCGTCAAAATGGCTTTCCCTAAGGTTTTCTCATGCTTAAGGTCGGACGTTAACGTTGCATGCTCACGGCGCTCGTGACGGAGACGACTCTGTGAGGTAAGGAAAATCAATTGGGGACGAAGAGGCAAACAGACGAAAGCAAAAAGAGAGAGAAAAAGAGGGAGGGAAAGAAAAAAAACAGAGAGAGAGAGAGAGAGAGAAAAGGGGGGATAGAGATAAAAAACTGGAACATTTCGGTTCTCTCGCAATCAACCGCGCCGTGGACGCAAAAGAGACAATATATACGTATACATATATGTATATATATACCATCGGTTCTCGCACATGCTTAGTTAGACCAATGCCCAATTACCATATTCTCATCCTAGGCCTCAACGGTGGCCTTCTGGGTTAAGCATAAGAAAAATACGATACGCTTTTACTAGTGACTGACATGTTAATGGCGGGTGCACGAAGTACATTCCATGATCTCGCCTGGGAGGCACGTTTCCCCTCAATGTCCGTCTCGCATCTCCGTCCGATCTTACGAGTACGAGGTACCGGGACCGGCTCGCACTGTGATTTCGTGGTTTCTTTTTCCTTTTTGTTTCTTTGCAACGTGGCCGGTCTTCGTATCTCGTGCGAAAAAAGTCGCGAGGATCCCGCAGGACGAAAGCCTCGCGTTCTCAGGCTCGTCAAAGAGAGAGAGAGTGAGAGAGAGAAAAAAAGAGAGATAGAGAAAAATAATTAATAAAGGACGATAGATAAAATGAGTCGACTTTAGTCCCCGGAGTGTCGAGTAAAAACGATGTGCTTTTTTGTAGTTTTTAAACTGCCGAATCTGATTCGGATTTTGAAAAATTTTAGTTTGCCGGGGAAGTATCAAAACTCGCATAAGAAGCTATTAAACATCTAGTACCGTAAAATATTACCGTTGAGCTTTACGGGAGCGTATTCATTCGTGTTGCTAGTAAAATATGATAATACTCTCATCTCTAATAATTCACATTTGAATCAGCCCACGTCAGTATATACAGTAGAACCTCTTTAGTTATACCCTCGAGACTGAATGTAATTATTTATTTTTTTCTCTTTTATGCATATATTCTTCTATGTATAATATATACATTTTCGTTCATTAAAAGCATTTTACTATGTAAAATTGTAAGATTTACACAAAAAATATTTTCAAATACCAAGATCCGCTTAGACCGAACAAGGCCTTCTTCATTTATTATTATTCATTCATTAATCTGTTTTGCTCACATATCGATCGATTTTCACTTAATATTGTTTATTTCATTATAGTTTTACACTTTCATTAACATACCGTTCTCAATAACTTATATATTTAATAGCTTCATATACTGATTTCAATACTTTCCCGACAAAATAAAATTTTTTTAAATATCAAAATCAGATTCAACAGCTTAAAAACTACAAGAAAATATATAGTTTTTACCTGTCACTCTGGAGACCAAAATCGGCCCGTTTCACCCATCGTTCTTTACTACAGGATTGGCCGGATCGAATCAGATTGCTCGTTAAGATATTCGCGACGATCTCGGTGAGTTCGAATCGAATTCGTCGCTCGAGAAATAATCAGTCATCCGAGCGATCGCAAAGACGCAAGATGCATGGGCTACTACTAAGCAGCGAGACGGGAAATTAAAGGACTACGTTCGGAACAAATTAGGGCTCCTCCTCGACATCCGCTTTTTACTATGCTCCAGCATATAACGGTATAATGATATATCGACGACGGTCTGTGCTCGAAACCCCCGTCGCCGTTCGCACAAGAATGTCTCCCGTGGTTTTTGATATCAAACGACGAGACGTGGCCTGAGCATAAGAGAGCGCGGGGGAGAGGGGGTTTCGAGAACGATTTTTAATTAGAGAAGAGCCGACGTAGAAAGCGGATTATCCCGGCAGATTTGCACCCGGTGGCTTTCGAAGAGCGCCCGATTGTTACGGCGAGTTTCGAGTTGTAGCGCGAAGCGTTCCGGGAGGGACCCGACGGCCGGAGATACTTTTTATTCGTATTTATTCTGCGCTTCTTTCCCTAATTAGCGTTGCAACACATTAATGCAAATGCAACTCGATCGCGGGGTCCTCGCAATCGCAATAACCTCGTGGTGCAAAAGACGATGCGCGACAATACTTTGATAAAAAAAAAAAAAGAAAAAAGAAACTCGAATTAGCTCTAATTATCTTTTATTTATTGATCAAGCTAATCAGGAGAGTTTTAATTTGTTTAATGTAAAAAGGAAAAAATAAGAGAAAAGACAAAGAAAACACGATGCATTTTAATAAAGTTGAAAATTCGAGAAACGAAATTGTAATTTTCCGACCCGCATCAAACACAGAGTGTTTAAATTAAATTTCGAGAAAATCAAAAGAAACACGCGGTGTATTTTAAAATTAAAAATTCCAGAAATGAAATAAATGTGTAATCTTCTAGCCTGCATATCGAGCACGGAAATACCCAAATTAAATTCTGAACCTTCAATCATGATCGTATACGTGTCACATTAAATTACTACAAATGCTAGTCCCGAGATGAAGACAAGATGAACGAGAGAGCCCCGAGGATATTTCACGTTTTCGTGCGAGTCGGTTCTCTCCCGCGTACGCTTCGCGTCCATCGACGGATATACTCGAGCATCTGTAAATCGTCTGTATCGAGACTCGCGGGGGCACTAACTTGAACGAGGCTTGGAGCTCTTGGCGAAGCGTCAGCGGCCTGTTCTCCTGCGTCGGCGTGTTCTGCGGAGTGCCGGGCCCGCTGCCGGAGCCCCGCTTCTTCAGGACGCTCTTCAGGGGCACGGCGTGGAACTTGGGCTCCTTCGCCGGGATCTCCTCGACACGCGACGTGTCGATCGCCGGATCCGGCTGGGACACCCTGAAGACGTACATGTTGTCGTCCTCCTCCTCCACGTCGACGTCTTCCTCATCTGTGCGGGCAAACGTTGAGAACGCGCGTGAAAGCAAACTCTAGGGAACCCATAACGATCGTTAATTTTTCACGAAATTCCGAACTCTCGCATGTATATTGAAAAAAATATACTTATACAGGGGGTCCCAAAATTAACCGCATGTGAAGTACACTCCGAGAGATTCATGGTACTAAACGAAGCCATTTCGCGTTTACCAAAATTTCTTTTCGAATCGATAATGTTTAAATGAGAGCTATTTAAAGATTTCAAATTAGCATACTGGGTTGTGCCGTCAGGAGCGAAATCACGAAATGTCATGAGTCATGTAGACTGTTTTTCTTCGGCCTCAATAAAGACTTTATTATGCAGTTATGCATATCTGAATTTACTGGTATTTTGAATAGAACTTATTTGTACAATTTTCATAAATAATAGTCCGTCGGGTTTTCTCGAGGCCAAAAATATTTTTGAACTGTTGGAACAACATCTCGTGTAAGAAATTATTTGTGTGTCGTTTAAGCATATTGCTTTATTTACAGTCGTTCTTGCAGTGGTATCGGTAAACAATTTTTTATGCCGCTGAATGCGCCGTTTCTACCTCGCGCGTAACTTCGTATGCTAATTCGACAACTTTAAACAGATCTCATTTATTGAAACTATCATTTGAATGGAATTTTGATAAATGAAAGATTCGGTTTGGTACACTGTTAACCAAGTAACGCCAAAATTGGAAATACATGTTGAAACAAAAGCCGTAATTACGAAGGACATTTCAAGGTACGTACGTCGAATTTGGAGATACCACAAAATATGTATTTCCAAATATGGAGGCACTATTGCGTAGTATCCAAATTCGAGGTACCTGACTCGCAGGGTTTTTATTTCAACGTGTACTTTCAACTTAACAGTGTAACCTCCAAGAATCCTCCGGTGTACTCTGCACGTGGTTATTCCGAGACACCCTCTATAAATAGTGTGTGAAAAGTGAGAAAAACACGAAGATGGCTATATTTAATATTTCTTATTTTCTCGTGCCCGGGAAATTCGAGCGCGTCGAAAGCCCGACGGTTCGCAGGTAAACTCGACATACGTGAGCGCGCGAGCGCTCGTTGATTACTCTTTCCGATTTATATAATTATGCGGCGATGGGTCACGCGACGGTGATTAGGCTCTCGATTTGTGAAAACCTATCGGCGAGTGACAATCGTAACGCAGTCGTTCGCAGTCAATAATCAGGCACGCATCACGAAGGCAAGTGCATTAATATACCGCGGAATTGCGGTCGTCAATTAGCGCGGGACGATAATTAACGGTAAAATTAAATTCCCGCTAATGAGATAAACAGCGCTAAATAATTCCGCGGTAATACGCGCGCCATTGTGCCGGCCGTAATTTTATAACCTTATATCGCAATATTTGAAAATCGGAATAATGGGGACGCGCAATAATGGAGGGAGAGAAAAACGCTGACCGAGCTCTCTCGCGCGTGCCGTATTGTTTACGACGGTAACGCAACAGCACGTTAGGGCCAAGGATTAAATGAGCCGGCTTGATTAATGATCCGGTAGGATCACACTTACCCTCGTCCTCGCAGTCCGAGAGCGGAATTTGCCGTTGTCTCGCCAGCAAAGTGGGACTCGGTGAGCTGAACATCGGCGGGGGCGGAATCGGGCCGATTTCGCTCAACGGGATCGGCGGTTCTGGTAGTTCCGACAGCATCAGGGTATTCTGAGGCGGTAACGGGTAACACCTCTCGATCACCTGCTGATTGTCGGCGCTCTGATCCAGCACCCCCTTCTCCACTGAAAGCAGAAAGAGGAAGCATGATTTTACACAACGGTGCGTGCACAATCGTCGGTACATCGTTGACGACGATATTCGACTCGCAGGTACAGTTATACATGACCGAAAACATACTCTCGCGTAACTGTTATCTTATCGAATTAATCTCGCTCTGTTTATACTTTCCGTCGAGTTATAATTAAGTTTTCCCTTGTATCGACGCCGGGGCGTTTTCCAACTTGGAAGAAGTTGGATTACACAATATTGAGTCATCTTTATTATAAGATCAATTTCACGATATTAACGAGAAGATCGGGAGAAAGAGAGAGACGGAGGGAAGGAGGAGAGACGCCCGCGGAAAGATGATTATTATTTTCCCTCCGCCCTTCGCGGCGGAACACGGCGGAACAACAGCACGGGAAACGCGACTCATCCGTTACGTAGCGGAGCGACTCGCGGAATCTGCGCCGAGAGGTAAGAACACGACCGAAAGAACTCTCGTTCGATGAAGTCAGTCGTTTCGGGAAACGTGATTCATCGCGTTGCTCGAGCAACAATATCTTGGCAAGCGAGGGCGACCGAACGCCGCTCGAACGTTCGCTCGCTCGCTCGTCCGGCTGCAGCTGCAGTTGGCGAGATTTACGAAACGTCGTTCGCGGCGATGATTCGCGCGCATGCGAGAGAAGGCTTCCCCGAATTTGTTTATTATTAAATCCCACCGGCCACGCGCGCGTGCTCGCGCGAGAATGCCGAGCGGAATTTTTAATTCCGCGTGCCGCGCTCTTCACGTGCACTCCACCCCGCTCGTTTTTCTTCTTCGCTTCTTTTATTTTGGACTTTTCTCTCTCTCTCTCTCTCTCTCTTCCCCTTTTCGCAAAATTTCATTTTCCCGCGAACAGCCAGGGGACGTGTTTTTCGCGAATAACGAGCCGTGCTCGGATATCGGTTTCGGCCGGAATGTTAAATAACTCTGTGGATGCGCGCTCGCTCGCTCGTTCGCTCGTTCCTCGCTGGCCATTTGATAACGTCGCGCACCTAAATTCTGACACAAAAGGACGAAGTTCCGGGCGCGGTTTCGACGAGATACTTCGGCTACCACGCATAACCTGCTGCTGTCCCCGTCGCTTGATCACATATTTGAACATATTTGATTCCTCCTCTCCCCTCCCCCACCTGTCGGTCGGTCGAAATTTATCACACGGTGTGACGGTGGTCGTGAGAATTTTCGGCGCACGTAAGTTCATTTTATCGCGCTGCGAGAGTTTGCACTTTGTTCGCGTCAAGTATCGGTGTTCGATTAACTCTTTGGCAAGGTGGATTTTCAACGTATTCAAGAAAGTGGGGTCGCATCCGATCCCCCCCGTGCTCTGTTTTGTTCATTTTTCGTGTAATCGATACACAAAATGGATAAAAGAAGCAAGTAATAACACGAAACATTCTTCATTCTTTTCGACGACCGGCTGACTTCTCAAACGTAAATGTAATAGCATATTCATGACGTTAAAAATTATATTAAAACATAGTAAATAAACGTATCAATGCATAAATATAATATCATTTATTTTCATTTATAAAAATCAATTAGGAAAATCTATGGAAATGATCAAAACTGTCTGGCAGAATTATTAAAAAAAAAATCATAGGGCGAACGGCTCGACCTGCTTGGCAATCGAAAGGTTAAGAAGAGGAACAGCTGTAAACAACGTTGTAAAATAAACGAAACCGTGGGGGTCAATCTGGCCCCCTCTTATTATTGGAGGGTTAATCTCCACAGCTTGCGCGAGTAAACACCGACCGGACGACACGCGATATCGCCGGCTTTTATCGGACAGTGTATCGCAGTGGAGCACGCGTTGGCGTGCAGCATGATGTGATGGAGCTTTCGCATTTTTCGCTCCTAATCAGTTAAGACCAGCCGATGACGCGCGTGAAAGATGAAGATTAAACGGAGAACCTTTATTGGCCGAACGTGTCAGTCGAAACGCGGTGGAATCGATCCCTCCTGGCCTGAAATTATGTTGTGACGTGCTCGCATAATGCATATTACGGATCACATCGAATATTTGATGTTGACTAATGGATCATTTGTAATTTAACGACAATTTTACATCGAGAGCTGTAAATATGACGTGTACATGCAGGCGCGAGGGCTTTGTGCGTCCGTGCCCGAGTTCGTTCACTTTATTAGAGAGGATGGGAGGGAGGGAGGGAGGAGAGAGAAAGAGAATCTCAGATTCTAATAAACGTTATTAAAAGATGTAAATGTCACCGGAGATAAATAGAGGAGCGGCCGTCGTCAAAGGTGAATAACTAAATCCAATAACAAAACTTTCAGCGCTTGTGTACCCTCAATGATTGCATAATCGTATTCGTGGGGCACTCGGATTCGCAGCGGGAACTCGTGGCTCTGCGGCCGAGTAAAAAATCGCCGGATAAAAGACGTTGTTATCGCTTAAGAACCGATGATCCTCGAGTCGCAGGCGATGACCCTCGAGTCGCAGGCGCAGACCCTCGCCCGAAAGTTTTCGCGAATTTTTGTCGGTAAGTAACGTGATTAGAAAGAAACTGGACATTGTGCGGAGTAGGCAAGTGAACATATGATTTATATATAGTTACTTGTATACAATTTTTATCTGAATATTTCTTTAAGCCTCTCGAACCGTCAACATCACAGAAGAGAAACTGTACTTGAAGCATCATAAGTTGTGCAAGTTCCAAAATTTGATCCACCACCTTCGACATGTTCCAGCTGTTACTACAACTTCTTCGAGCACTTCGCATAAGTTTCTCGCTACTTGCACCTCCTTACTGGCTTTTTCGAACTCGCAGAACATGCAATGTTTCAAATGCAGTTTTTCTCCCGTCACGTCAACAGTTCGGAAAGTTTCAAGAAATTCACTTGTATACGTAAAACTTTATATGTAAATAACCCATCAAACACTATTCCGCCTTCTCAGAGGGGAAAGTCCAGTTTCTTCCTGATTGGATTGTTTACACTGAAAGAAAAAAATGCTGCACTCTGTAATTATAATTGTCATAACCTGCACAGAAGAAGAGAATTAGCTTACGCAGCAAAAATTAGCTATCCATGTAATACAATTGAAATTTAGTTACCAGACCTAGTTTTTAACCATGGGAGCTAATTTGTTTTTCCGTACTGGTTATAACATTTAAATTAATTTTCCAGCATTCGTGCGACTCATACCCGTTTCTGCCATCGTGGTTTAAATCTAATCGACGATTAACACAACGGAATTGACCAACCAAGCACTCATCAGCTAATTGGCCAGTGCGATTGGCCAATTCCGTTGAGTTAATCATCGACTAGATTTAAACCATGAAACGGTAGAGACGGGCATCAGTCGGCACCGTCCAAATTTCCCGTCAAAGGGGGAAAACAGCAACACACAGCATCCCTTCACACATAATTAGCTTGCCCAAGAGGCCACGTCGGGCGAATTCGATCGGCGAAATGATTTTCGCCGTCTCTCCTTCCGACGCTTCCTCCCAATCACTCCCGTTCAGCCGGGTTTTTCTTCACGAAGTCGTCCGAGCGGAAACGAGCACGGGCCGCACGCTCCTGTCGATATATTCTACCTGTCGATATATGCGCCGGACTTTTCTCTGAGCGAGCGCGATCGATACGCGAGCAATGATGAGAATCGTCGCAGTGTAGCGCGAGCAATACACGATGCGGCGGCCAGGCGACTTTAGCGGTTAGCGAGAGCGCGAGGAAGCGTACTCACTGTCGAACAAGATCAGCCTCCTGGCTACCACCCTGGCCTCGAGGGTATTCGGCCTGTTCGGCTTTTGCTGGTCCCCGGCATCCGGGACCGAGCCCGAGACCGGCGCCGAGCCGGTCGTGCCCAGATTGGCGGCCTGCGGCTCGCCGCCGCCGCCGCCGCTTGGCGATATCGCGCCATTCGCGCTCTGTTCGGTCTTATCCTTCTTCGGCTCTGCAACAGAAAAAAAATATCGGCACCGTCAGAGTGGCGTCGGGCTATGCGCACGTTCTACCGGCCGATTTCCTTTCCTCTCGATTTCTCTCTCTCTCTCTCTTTCTTTCCTTTTCTCTCCTAATCTCGTGCCTTTCTTACTCGCGAATCTCGCGGGGTGACGTGTTCGCTCAGAGAAAAGTATCGTCGGGTCGGCGGAACGTTCTTTTTTCGTCTTTCCTTTTTTCTCCTTCATTCTGTCTCTCTCTGTCCCTCTATTTTTCTCTTTTGCTTTCTCACTCGTGAATAAATGAATGACGGATCACTTTTTAGTAAGATTACTTTTCGGTGGTATACCGCGGAGAGAGGTTCGCCTCTGCGTATTTTCCGATCGGTATATATTCGCCACGATGACGTAGCAAACCTCTCTCTCTCTCTCTCTCTTTTTCGTTGGCTCCCGGGCGGACTTAATTCTGTGAGTCAGTTGATCGAAGGAGATGCTGTACACAGATATATAAGTACGAGAGAGCCTGCCGCAAAGGTCGAGAGTAACGCTCGTGCCGCATGTGGTAACCGTGAATGATTAAATACGCACGTGCTCATCTGTACATTTAATTAATGTTTGCTTAACTTTATTAAAAGTAAACAAGAGTTTGAATAATTCCGTCGTCTCTTACGGTTGCGAACTAATTAAGAGTTTAACAGCGGCAAAGCTTTAACGAAACGCTACTATATTCTCTTTCTCTCTCGCGCGCGAGAGAGAGAGAGAGAAAGAAAGAAGTCGGCGCATTATATATTTATGTATCATAATTATACTTTATATTATATTTATCTTATATTATATTCACATGCGTTTACCTCGCGTTATTCTTGTGTATTGCGTAATTAGTTGTGCAATTAGTCGGAATAATTACGGTAATTGGTTGGATAATTCGTCGAAGCGGCTTTAAAATATTAACGCTAATAAATGGCACACGGTTCAGTCGTCAAAGAGCGTCCGTGCACAAAGAGTCACAAATGCCTGACCGTTCCATAGATCGAGAATATACGGTTTTCGACCTTATGCTTATGTACATAAGGTTGAAAGTCATATATTCGGTGTCACATTGACTTGGCCATTATAATTACGATTATTTATGCGATTTTCAACCTTATTCGTACAGAAAAAGAAAGAAATAGCTTCCAGAGGTAAAAATTAGTTGTTCGTATGATACACATAACTGAAATTCAGTTAATTTAATTAATTCTTTTCCCTTCATCCAGCTAAAACTTAGGTCTAGTAACTAAATTTCAGTGTTACATGGACAGCTAATTCTTTTCATCCGCGCACATACAAGCGTAAAGTCGAAAGCTGTATACTTGCAATCTAGAGAAACAGCCCGGCATTTATTTGACTCTTTGTGTACGAGAGGAGAATCGGATCGCGGCGAAAAAGGGAGAAAAAAGGAGGGAGAAGAAATCCGCCGATGGCTCTCGCGCTCGACTCGCGCGAGTTTTCAAATTACGTTTATGTCTTCAGCTGGTGACCGAGTGGTCGCCGAAAAGCTGTCTACCGTTGCGACGGTTCGACATACGCCCGCTATGCTATCCACCGTTGACGTCCACCGCGAAAAAGGACACGCCGATTTTCCAGGCCGGTCCGGATATCACGCGAATGAACGAACGAGCGAACGAATAAGGAGCAAAAAGGTTTCGGCGCGCGCGTTGTACGTTATCGACACTGCCGGGCTGTCGGTTTTGCGTTATTCCGCGTTGCGGATTTTCCGAATTTGACACATTTCCGATTCGACGGCGATTAAAGGTAGCGCGAGGTGCTCAAAAATTCGCTTTGTACCGCCGCTGCCGCCGCGTATCGATAAATCATTCGCCGCTGGATTTTCCAAAGCTGCCGCTGCATCAGCCAAACGTTACATGAGAGAGAGAGAGAGAGAGAGAGAGAGAGAGAGAGAGAGAGTAATAGAGAGGGTGGAAGGTTCGTTTCATCGTGTGTGGATCGATTAATGTTCGAATGTTTCGACATTAATAATATACAATAAATACGTTCGTCGTGTGACTCCAAATCCCCGCCGCTGTATCTTTCATCGAGGCAATCAAAAAGAATATCGTTTATAATAAAACACAGAGTGGCAACGCGCGGTGTCGTTCCGGCGACGCTCGGTTGATTAATCGTCGGGAAACTGGAAAATTGTTCACCTCGACGTGTATGGGCTCTCTCGCTTAATTAATGCGGCGATTAATTTTAAATAATCATGAAAAATCGCGAGAGCGCACGGGCCAAGTGCGCCGAGAGATGTGTCAACGAGAAGACGGAGCAGCTGCAACAACAGCGGGCTAGCTTGTTCTCTTGTTAATTTTCCGCCACCGGAGAAATTTATTATCGAGAACTAGAGATAACTCGCGGAAGTGTGTGTAATTAAAAATTTAATAAACTGCCAGGATACCGCCGTTATTTTATATGGATGGTGCGATTCTCTGTCCGTCCCCTCCTCTTTCTCTTTCTCTCTTTCATTCTCTCCCGTTTTCGTTCTTTAATAAAACGTGAAAACGATAAATTATACAATTTTCGCGTATACACTGAGAGAAAAATACTTAAAAATTTATTTGCAAAGGATATAAGATTTGTTTCACAGAGATGAGCTTTCACAGACGTAAGGTTTGTTTCACAGAAATTCCACAGAAATAAACCTCACATCTCACAAATAAATTTTCAAGCACTTCCTTCTCAATGTGTAGCGTAACGCGGCGGCTCGCACGGAGAAAACAATTTTGACGGAGCAGCAAATTGCTTGTTAATTGCAGTGACAGCAAAAGACTTTGTTACACGGAAAAATTGTCGCTGTTGTAGCGAAACGTTCTGCGACAACGATAAAATTTAGTTGGCATAATTACAAATTAATACTCCTAACAAATCTTTTTGCTATCATTATAATAACGAACAATTTGCTGTGCCGGCAACAAATCTTTCTCCGTGTCGGGTCTTCACGGATGGAGAGGCGACACGTTCAAATGAAACTCGGCGGAAGATGAGAGCGCGATCGATTGTCGCGGTAGACGAAAGGCAATAATTCGGCAATGCGCGCAGCTGAACGATGAGATATGATTGGCTAACAAACCGCGTTAGATCGAAGCCGATCGCAATCAAGTGCGGTCGGATCGGACACGGCGCGAGGAGGGCCGTGACGAGATGCTGTTTGATGTCGGGAATGAAACGTCACGTGCCAAATGTGCCGCGGAATACGTCGTGCGCGAACGAGACGAGTTCGAAAGCATGGGACGGAAAGGCAGTGTCGATCCGTCAGGAATTCGTCGCGACGACAAGCAGTCATTCATCCAACCGTGCAGGCGTTCGGTGTACAATGACACTTAAAATTCAACATATATTCAAATTCACATTCGTGGCCAAATGCGTATCGACAGCCCGGTGGAGAATCACGCGTCCGTGCATCGGGCGAAATTAAAACACGATCACGTGATAACGCTGTAAGTGACAATCAAGATTGGCCCGGTGAAAATGCGCGGTCGAGGACTCGGTCGAAAAGCGTCGCTTAAAATTAAACATCAAGATATGTACATAAATTGAAAACACCAAAATGTTAAGATATATAATTATATTGGCGACTGTCCTACCTTGTTGCCACATATGATTACTTCAGTAACCATACAATAATTGCTTTAATTACTGACAGCAATTATTACTGTTGTTTTCTCCATGTTGAGTCTTAAAGAGGAAGATACATTTCAGAATGATTTAGTATATTATTCAGAATTGTTTCAAAATTATTTAGTATAATATTTTCCAATAATAATGTCCAATAGAGCTATGCGTCAATAGAGATTTAAATTCAGATTCGGTGTAATAACGAAGCCGAAATGAAAAATAAAAAAAAACGGCAGAGAGATTCAAGATGAAATGCCTCACGGCTCAAGGAGCATTATTGGACACGTAAATAAGCACTCATGAAATTGATCCTAAGGCAAGTACTCACAATCGTCAATTATTCCTGATATTTGATCGACATAATTAGCACTGCTTACTCGTGGAGTTAATCTCGCGCAGACACGATTCGACCGGAGAAAATGTCAATTAACGTATTAATCACAAAGATGCCAAGGCAAGGCAGTCCAATAAAACTTTCTAAGAGTCGTGGAAATATTTTTAATGCCCAGGAGGAGGGAAGGACGTGTTAACTTTGCTTCGGCACGCTCGTAATTACTGCTTCGTCTCGCATCGTAATTACTCGAACGCGGAAAAGTGAGCAACGTGCACAGTAAAAAATGTTATGTTAAATTCAACACATTTCATACGTCTCAAACGGTCCATTCAAATTTTTGTGTCACTTTAACACGAAGTAAATATGTTGAAAAGTAGCATAAATATTATATTAAAAATTAACGTAAAATTAATATCCATAATATATTAATCGACATTGAAATATAAAATATGTTACTTTGACACTCACATATATTGAATATCGATTCAACACAAAATATCGAGATAACATAAACACAATATGTTAAATTGACGCACGGGTATTAAAAATTTCACACGAATGTTTTAACGAGGACCGATTTTAATATAAATACAAAATGTCCTTTACCGTGTACGGCATTAAAAACAATATCGGCAAAAAGCGAGGAGCCACTTCATTTTTCACCAGCGGATCATAAAAAATCAAAACACCGCGAGAACCTCTGAGCGGTTGGACTTATCCGATGTGTCGCGAGTTTTCCCGAATGTTTTTCCCACTGTGTCTCGAGCCGGCGAGTGATAAAAGCATATCTTGACGAGTACGTGTGTCGTCGCGTTTTCGTTCCTGTCGGGCGGCTGAAATATTTAATAAGCTCCTGAAATATGTAATCGGGCTCGTTCGTCGGTGTCGTGTCACTTAACAAGTGTGTCGCCTCGATTGAGTCGTATCTGCGTGAGCAACAGTGCCAATGTCAGTGTTATAAGAAGAATGTGTCCGAAGCGCCACAACGGAGCAGCCGGGCGCAGGGATGTTAGGTCAGGACGCGGATGC